GGAAGCCACTGTGTGAAACAAACAGCGATAAGGGCAGTGATGATGTGTTTAAGAGCATGTGCTGAGCCCTTGAAGTTACCGAAGCTGTAGGCTAAGGACACGTTGTCGCTTGCGTTTGCGCAAAAAGGTTGTGCAGACCGCTAGGGTTATATAGTTTTACATCACCAGACGTAGTGATGCCTAGCAGTTTAACCGGCCCGCCATCATTGAAATTTCCTTCGCCCTCCGTGAAAATGCGTGCCCTGTCCTCGACATGCATATCTTTTCCGACCAGAGCAAACGGCTCTACTAGCGACCTGAGCAGGGGGATGCATGTGGCCAGGGGAGCAAGTTCGAAGAACTTTCATTGCATCCACTTTCTCTATAGCTCCAACCTGGAACACATGATATGCCTTCGTGCAGCTGCGGGTCTGCACAAGTTGCTCAAGCTCTTCCATCACGGTTTCGATGGACGCCATAGCAAGCAGCGAACGGAGGGCCAGGTTGGGATGCAACTTAGCTTGGTGGAAACGGCTTCCGGGACACTCCTGCCTGCACCAAGCCAGTTTGTCGTGAGCTCCCCGAATGATCTGGAGCACTTCACTTCACTACGCTCGTCTCGGGCTACAAGATAACACCATGGCCAATGCATGTAACTTCCGAGATCTTCCGACCAAGCACACAAGCCTGGATGAAACCTTTAACTACCAGCTTTGCCTTGGCACTCTTCAGTTCGGGCCCACCAGATTAGTGGCATGTCTCAAGTAAGGATGCTGAATGTCGCCCTTTTCAGGATGTGCAGAGCAGAACCCTGATGAATGTCAGGATCGACAGCATCAGACATCCAAGAACTAACGCACATCAAATGTTCTTGTTTGCTTGCAAATTGCGGAAGAGCCCTGCTTGGCCCAAAGATTCGCACGCGCATCAGGACCGAGGTGTGCGGCTATTCCGAAATAATTAGTATTAGTACTGTTGATATTAGTACTTTTAAAATCTAGTGCTCAAAAAATTAATTCCTATATTCACCATTATTAATACTATCAGGGAGACGTGGCGCTACCGCGCGCAGACTTTCTGCCCATGTGAAGTCATGGGGCGAAGAGCATGCACTGCGGGCTGGATGAAAAAGCCGCCGTCGCAAGACATATTCCAATTCTCATACACGGCGTTGCGAATGTGATTTGATGTTGACGGTTGAAACTTGGGATTTCGAATTCGAAGCCTTATGTTGGCCAATCTTGCCGCTTCCAGGCTAGTTCTAGGATGCATGTGTGATTCGCTTCAGGGAACTCAGAAACCCCGTTGGTGTTTGGGAAGCTAGGCTGAGTTTGGTAGTGGAGCTAGAAGGGGCTGCCCTTCAACGCCTGGAATTGTTTCCGGCAACCTGAGAACACTTCCAACGAAGCTTTCATCACAGCACACAAAATTTTGATGGCAAACATCAAGCCTCGTATTTCAAATCGCATGCCTCACATTTTGATGAAGGCACAGGTGTACTTTCTACGAGCTAAGAAAGACCCAGCTCAAGCTTAAACATGTTCATTGCACTTGTAAGCTGGCCAACAGGTATCTGGAAGTGAGGGACGAACAAAAATCATTGCTAAGCTTTCCTTTCATGTGAGGGCGGGCTGGGACAGGCGTGCATGTCTTAAATGCAACGAATGACCCAAGCTGTGAGCAATGTTGAGACTGATTTTCCCTGCTGTCAGCACCTCTTCCGAGCACTGAAAAAGTGACGTTCTATGTCTTCCCTGCAAGGCACGGTCTCCAATCCAAGAACCCAACCTTGTGGTCTCCGACTGCAGCTTGGAGGTATGCCGTTTTGAGACCAATACATCTGGAGGTTTCCTCATGTTACTCAAGTGATGACCCCTACCTGCCCCCGCAGGCTGCAGTGCCCAGAAAAGAACAGTTTGTCTTTGTACCCCCTTCGCGGAAATCCAAAGTTCCTTTCGCGCACCCCATCGCGAGCTTTCGCAGAAGCATGTTTGAAGCAAAAAGCAAAGCCCTGAACTCTTAAAGGGGCCCAACAAGTCCATAACAACAGCAAGGATTTCCATAAGGAAAAGAAATGTATTGCAAAGTAAGTAAGGCAGCTATAGCTTACGATACTCCTTTCGCGAAATCCAAAGTTCCTTTCGCGTGCACCANNCATCGCCACCTTTCGCGGAAGGTCTTTTAAGCCGGCCGTGGTCGTTTTATGTAAAAATGCCTTCATGGGGTTTTCAGGCGATGCCCATTTGGAATTTCAAGTCCAAGCAGTGCCTGAGCATGGGGAGGATGCGGAGGCAAGCCGTCGAGTTGTTGATATCGGAGACTCCTCCCAGAGTCCTTACCAGAATGAACACGAGGGCGCCTAGGAATTTTCCTTCAATGTTTTTTGCCAGCTGCTACGGGTGCTCCTGACGAAGCTGAAGACCGGCAAGGCAAGAAGTTCCTGAGCCTGTTTGGGGGAGCAGGGCCAATTCGAGGGGATCACCGGGATTCCATCATGCACTCACCGCACTTGAAACTAAGCCGTCGAAAAAAGCGGCCAATCGCATGCTGCATGCTGCTTGTAAGCTCATCCGTCAGTGTCTGCAGTGTGGCATTCCAGCCTATATGTACAACCCCTTACTTCCGGACTGCCTGCTTACACATGCTGTGCGGGAGCTACTGAAGAAAAACAACGTCTTCTTCATCAAGGCTCACATGTGCCTGTATGGAGGTCAGTGGAAGAAGCCAACAAGAATTCTTATTTGGAATTGCCAACCTTTCGAGATGCTCGGTGCAAGGGCAGGTGCAGCCGAACTGGAAAACGCCACTTGCAGTTGACGGGGGTCCACAGTTCCAGATTCATCCAGATTCGCTACTGAGCAAGCTCAACTGTATCCTCGAGCCTTGGCTGGCTTGGTGAATGCCCTGAGCTGACTTCAGGTTCTCCTGTTAATTCCCCCTCACCACCCAAGGCCGTTCCGACATTCCGACAGTGCTTAGAATCTGATGAGGGTGACACTATGCTGAGCGCACAGCGTCCCTACAACATATGGACACGCAACGATGCAGAAATGAGTTGCTTGAGATGCCACTGCGAAGGGCTCGGATGCAATTAAAAACACACCAATCAAAATCAGAAGAGTTTTTGTTGCTGGCGCTATTCCGTCAGGGCATCCAAAAGCTCCTGACACAAAAACATGTGCATATTACATGAACAAGATTTGTTTTCAAGCACGGCGTCCTCGTCGGCCTCGGTTTTCGATGCCAGAAAAGTGCTTCGTGGAATGTCAGGCACCTGCACGACACCATGCTGACATACAAAAACGCAGGCTCCACGCAGCTGCACCGACATACCCTGATTGCAGAAATCATGCGCCGTGCTACCTTTAGTAGCTAGCCCACTTGTGCCTGCTCACCGTGCATCTTCGCAACGAGTGCCTGCTTGCAATGGGCAACGCAGTGCAAACTGCAACCTTGCACCTTACAATCCACACCTGGTCTTCACAAAATCTGACGTCTACTTGAGCGCGCCTTGACGCCCTCAGGCTTTGAACCGTGCGCTTCGGGTTCATCGGCTTCGTCATGCTCTTGCTGTGAGCTTGCGGCCTAGTTACGTCATATGAATGTGCTCCAACACGGCAAGTCCTCAGAGTCTACAGCCCACCTCATCGTCAGAACTGTCTGAGGTGTCCTCTTCCAGGCAGCAATGACTATTCTCAACACCAAAGTAAACTCATACATGTTGTAGGGCCATAAGGGGACATGCTCGGTTGTTTGGCTTGCCAAGTGCATTTATCAAATGTCTTGACAGCCTTCAATCCATGAATGATGCATTGCGGCCTCGCCCTTCAGTTGGCGCAACTTCGCCTCGCTTTCTCCGCAGACAACAAGCCATAGGCTCAATCAAGACGACAAAATTAATCCAGCACCTTGAGCTCCTTGATCTTCTTTGCATTCAGCTCTTTTCTCTCCAGCAACGCCTCTGCACATCTCAGCTGGTAAATAATCATGTCATGCCAATATTTCAATACCGACAACACGTGCGAGGACTTTAGTGCTTGTAGACTTTAGGGATTAAGGATTTGGGCTCTCTGATTTAGGGCTATCAGGGATCGCGGCCTTGACGGCTTTATTTCTAGGGCTCCGACCTTTTGGGGCGAGGGGTTTGGGGGATCCGGGCTTTGAGTCCAGGACCTGAGGCTTTACCGGATTTATGCCGGCACTCACAGGGCGTTGAGGGTATCAAGCTCAGGGAGTCTTTCCTTGCAGGCATTCGGCATCTAGAGTTAAGCCTTTTAGAGTTTGGGGCTTTTAGGGTTTCTGGCCATAAAGGCTCGTAGCGTTGTTGTTTTGTGGGGCTTTAAGTGTTTTTGGCAAGTGAGAGCTTTCCGACTTTATGCTGTTGAGGTCGGAAGGCCCAAAGCCCTAGCAGCATGTTCAGAAAGTCTCGCGGCACAATCTTTCCGAGGCCTCGCTGGTGACGGCGCTGAGTCCGACTCCACGGAAACCAAGCCTGGGCAATGGCCCGAGGCAGTGCCAATGTTTAACAAGGCTGTTGCTGTTGCTGTCGGTGAGGTGCGCTGTGTCCAAAGGGGAGCGGTGGCAGGAGAGCGCGCGCTTTTGCCGTGCAGCTATTAAAAGTCATAAATGCCCGCGCCGTGTCATTGCGAAGGCTATTCTGAAAGACTCTGAGCCTGGCGAGGTTGTCTGCATCTTGCAGGCTCGCTCCCCGAGATCAGTGGCAACACGAATACTGGCCAGGTCGAATGGTACAGACACCCTTTGGATGCCGGCAACAATTCTGCACGCCAAACTTGTAGACCTTGATGCTGGTATTGCAGAAGCTAGGAGACAACATGTTGGAAAATGCCCTGCCTGGGGGCCGTTTTCCAAGCAGCAGCCGCGTGCTTCCGCATCGTAAAGCACTTTGCCGCCGCAGCAACTGTACGAGGCCTGACACCATCTTTAGACCGCGTTAAGATTACACTCAAATATAGTTGCAAGACATGGATGGCTTGGCAGCCTTGGAGTAGACCCGGCCCTGGCAGCAGCCCTGACTCTGGGCTTCAAAGACAACGCCGCCACAGCAGCCCTGGCATCATTCCCAGGGGTACATGATTGATGCATCTTGATGTGGAGGACCGCTCCTTTGATTCACCTTTGTTGGCGAGAACACTTGATGTTTGAGCGCGATCTACTGTCATGTTCTGAGACAGCAGGCACGCTCTACTGATGCTGCAGGGGATAAATGGCAGTCCAGCCTGAAGAACTCTGTCAATTACCCGACCACCACAGCATGTTTTCCTCGCACATTGCTGGCTGGGTGCCGAGCCTGCATGCCAAGCAATCTGCATCCAAGCTGCACAGATGCATCATAGATTTCTGTTCCACAACGCTGCCTGTCATCTAGCTCAAAGCAACCACTGAAAGAAGGCAAGACGGCTTGAAATGAGTCTCCTCCGGCACTGGCTGCCATCGCGATCGAAAATCGTGCAGGTCTCACCGTTGAATGCAGCAGCCTTTGGGTGTCTGGGCTTATCTCCGCAAAGCTTTGCCGGGATTTGCCCGAGCAATTTCCTGTTCCCAGCCTTCTTGTTACAGGCCTCCAAAGCCTTTGCCTCAGCCTGCTCAAGGCTACTCCTTGCGTGCAGGGGCCAGCGGAGCTCACGGCTGCAAGCGTCTGGAGCATGCGCGCCTACTGAAACCGGCCCAGGTGCTGCTGCACCGAAAGCCATCCGACGTTGCATGAAGCCGTCATCGCCCATGCCATGTGCTGTCCTGCGGTGGCTCCATCTAAGCATCACATTCAAGGAAAACACACATAGCATGCCCAGAGTACCTGCAGCGCAATATCGACGCCAGTAGCTGCCTATGGTGCTTATGCTTTGATGCTTTGCTTCCATTGATTTACCCAGCAACAAACCAGCTCTCAGCCATGCACTGTAGGACTCAGGGGGCCAGTCAGCTCCACAGGTGAACTGCGCCGTCTCTTCGCTTGAAGACGGAGCTGCAGAGCAGGTTCTCGGTTGCGCGCAAGCGAGCTTCAGAAAGTAACCCGCACAAGCGCAAAAGTTGCTCACGACCTCAAAGGCGCTGAAGTGATTCCCTCATTGTGGATGTTGTGACATTTGCCTCTGAGTCACTCAATTCCATAGGTGAACACGTGCTCCTGGTTGCAACAACCTGCAAGAACTACACTTCTTTCGGGTCCTCATCCTACACTGATCTCTTGGCCTTTGTAAATGCATGTTAATGCGGTCTACCAGCATGCTATGGGCTGCGCGACTTTGAAATGCCAGCTCGGCCGGCAAAGACGACCCTACCACATCACAACAGCCCACCTTGCTGTGCAAAGGCGTAGACTGTTTGATTTCCGCAGCAGCCCTCCGATGTCAAAGAGTAGAGCTCGCCTGTCGAAATCTTGTACTGAAAAAAACCTGCAAGTCGTGTACGCAGTGTGCTCAAATCTTCTCATTTCAAGCGGCCTCCACAGCAGGCCTGTTGCGATTTGTCGTAGCTCACGCCGTTGCATTCGGCAAAGCTTGGTGGCCCGGTGACAACTTCCGTCAACGCCTCCTGGGAGCTGCCAGCCATGGAATGGCACAAGCTGAGGACACACAGTGCGGATAGTTGCTCCTCAAGGGCAGCTCCGTTGCTATCATCAGTGGGCACAGATATCCTGTCATGCGAAAATACCATTACGGGACGTGCTACTGCAAACAAATCCTTGCAACTTCTGTTTCGGTCAAGTGGCGGTGAACCTCGGTGCTGCAGCATGGACAGCGCGCAACCGTCCTGGCTGGGATCTAGCTTGCATCGACATTCCTTGTGCAAGGTTCACGCTTCTTCTTCAAACAATTTTGGGGATAAATGCACCTCTTCCAATCCAGACTGGCAGTCGTCCATCAGCCAGTCGGTCGTTGCGGCCCTGTGAATAGCTGCATGCAATCAGGCACTTCAAGGAGTAACGTTCAGATGAAATACACACTGCTGCCTGCTCAGAACCATCAGCAGGACGACCCTTGCCATGTTTCTGCAAAGGCTGCCTCTTAGGCTATGATGCAAATTTTTATGATCTGTCCATCACCCCCAGCCTGCTTCTGCTACGCACGCTTGCACACACAATACTTCTTGCTTCGCGTTGGCTTTCTTCGTGCATCAACGCTTTGAACAAGCAAATAGCTGCAGACATTTCTCCACATCAGCCCCCATCACACATGCCTCAAACATGTTCGTTCATGGCTTATAACTTCGAAGCATAGGCACGAGGCAGAGAGGAAATGAAGAATCCAACTCCTTGGGATCAAGGCTTAGCAATGAATTCTGCGGAAAACTGCTTGCATCACAAATCACAATAAGTTGGACTCCAAGTCCCAACCCCGATGCCCTTCTGTCAGCCAAGGCTCGGCGGCGAACGTCTCCAGGGAGTGAGCTAAGAATCCTGGTGGATGGAATGCTTCAAATTCTCTGCAGGCACCTTGACCTTCCCAATTCACCACGACTCGGCTTGGCACTAAGCACCCTGCACCTGACTTGCAGGTGAACAACTCAATTGGGTGCGGCCTACGCTTTTGGAAGCTCTCCCCCAAAGGGTGTTTTTCCTCCTTTCCATACAAGAAGTCACGAAGATCCCACGAAACAACACAAAATATCAAAATTTTCATCATCAGCACTCTGGGTGTCAACCTTCTACTGACTCTACGAGCCAAAATATCGTCCACTCCGCTCATTTGCTGATCCACCGTCCTGCGAAAATCGGATGCCAGGCGCGCCTGTGCCAGACCACAACGTAAATGAAGTGACTAGTGGTGACTGCCCGACAGATTTGCATAGCTCAGCTTTCTGCAACACGTCCAACTGATCCAAATGCACAGTTGGCGCCCGTCAAGCTGAAACTGCAACAACTGCAACAAGCTGCCTCCACGCTGGCTGTCTTCGGCAGCTCTGCCTCGGTCACTGGGGAAGTGTGAGCAGCGAAGCCTCTGAAACACTCATTTAGCCTCATCGTTCAGAGCCTGTGGGACTTCGTGTCAGCATCACACTCTTCAAAACGAGCACTTTGCCAAGGGCGAGACCACGGCCTTTCCCAGCAGGGCTCTGCGATACCGCGACTCCTGCAGCACCAACAAAAGCCATCATTCACGCTGCTGCATTGTGGCAAAGAACCGTTGGCAAGTGAGCAGAGTTTCAGTCTAACCTACATCCACTGCATGACGCGAAGGCGTGGTCCTTGTAGACAGCAAACATGGGAAACCAAGCCTTGGGCTATACAGATTTTGCAACTTTGCATTTGTTGCAAATTTTGCTGCGCTTCAATTGCGTGCTACTGCTATGATATGCGTGACATTGCGCGCTTCTTGTCTGTATTCTTTGCTCGCTCATGTTAAGACCTCCTCTGCATCCATCTTCGCCATCACGGAAACTGAAGCTTCCTGATCCGTGCTAAGGCGGTGGCGTGTTGCTTGGATAGCTGCTCTTCCAGATGCACTTTTAGCGCACGATTCTCACCTCATTGAAGGAATTCTAAGGACAAGGCAGCTTGATGAAGCAAAGGAAGAGTGGAGAAAGCCTGGAAGGTACAGCAAACGACTGCACGCTTCTCCAACATTGCATTGTAAGCCACTGACAACTCCAGCTTAAGTCGACATTATGTGTTGCAGTCAGTGTGCTTGTTCTTGGCTTGGCTTCTTTCGAATCCATGCTCTAAAAGTTTGTCAAGTTACTGGCATCCAAAAGCTTGACACCCTTCGACCATGGTGAATGCCCCACAGGCGAAGCAGCGCCGAGGCTGGAACTGCGTGTGCTCGTCAGTTGCTGCACTAGCTCGTTCTGACGCTGGTCAAACCTCACTCATCACCGGCATCTCAACGATGACTGGCGCCAACTTGCTGGGGCTAGGAGGGTGGCTTCGTGGTCAAGGTCTGCCGCAGCTTTTCTAGCTGCGCTGGATGCTTTGCCTCATCAAACATGGAAGTCAGTGAAAGTGATAGAACTACATCAAGCATTTGCGAAGCCCTTGGCAAATCTTCCACATGGCCTTGAGTTCCGTTGCCTCATCGCGCACCCGCTGAAGCTCTGCCTGAAGAAGACAAAAGTGAAACATGAGAAAACTTGACGTGTCCTGTGGGTCGTTGTGGCCATGTCTGGCCTCGGCCTTGGCGGTCTTGTCCTGCGTGGCTAGCAGCGGCCAAGCTGTCCATTTCTCTGCATCGGTAGGGCTTCCATGGTCGAACTTCTGTGGCGCAGCTTGCTATGCAAGAATATGTGAAAACATTCAGACACCATGGCGGGGCTTCGGGCGACAGAACCGAAACCTCTATGTGCGGCTCTCTGCGTGGCCTTCTGTCGCCGTAGCGCCTCTCGTGACTCTCCCAGCGCTTGCTCGAAAAGCTCCACCTGGGAGGAGCTTTGGTCTAGCCGCGCGTGTTTTCTGACAGGGATGTATGACAGTCTTGTAAGCCAGGCACATAAGTGCGCCAAATTTTCTCCAGGACAACCCCTCTTTCAAGGCAATGCTGTGAGACCTCACCGTGTCTTCAAGCAGTGAGAACTTTGGAAGCTCTCCCGATCATAAAGACCACGCCGCCTGGCGGACCACCTCATTGAGCCCAATGGACAAGACCGGGACCAACTCCTGGACCTGAGTCTTCTTGGGCCACCGTACCACCAGCACTGATGCTGCTGTTGCTGCTGCTGCTCCTTCTAGAGTGTGGTGCTGTTGCTTCTACTGTGTCTGCTTCGGTGAAGGCAAATGCCAGTTCCACTATGACCATGACAAGCAGGACGACAATCAGTGTGATCCTTATCAGTCCTTAGCATGATACCACTACCAGGGGATAACGGGTCGGTGCAGAAAGAGAGGCTGAGTTGGTTGCCATCTTTGTCAAGTCCTCCTCGCAGAGCTCCTCCGGTCTCAACGGAGCATGTGGACAATCATGAGCATAAGTTGGGTTGACCATGCAAAGGAAGACTGTATGAATCCAACCGGAGGAGCGGGTGAGGGAAGGGCAAAAGGTGGAATGCGTGCAGGGGCCATTCAAATCTCCCGGCGGCGGATATGCCACATGTAGCTTTGTTTTGTTTTAGTGGTTTATCCGACTGGCCTTTGAGACACGGATGCGAGCCAAGAGAGCTATTTGTTTCACATCATGTGTTCCACTTGACCGCAGGAGGGCCGCGGGGGGCCAGGGGGGTCAGAGCGATCACAACTGCCCCTCCTGTGCTCTCTAGCCTCAGCAGGTTGTGCCGAGGCGGTCTCGCGTTAGCCATTAAATTAAGCTGGAAATGCTTGAGCTCAAATCACCATCAGCCCCCACCTGTTCAACAATAACAACTCAAGTAGTACAAAGTGTCAGAGCCCGGCCAGCCTTCGAGTCTGCATGCTTGCTTCTCTTGGCATAGGTCTGGAAGGATGTAGAAACCTCGTCCGCAGGGAGCTCAATTCGGAATTCCCTGAGGAATGATCCCCATTCAATGAACCTGCCAAAGAAAGCGCATGCGCATGCTGGGTGCTTGTGCCCATCTTGCCAGGACCTGTGCATCGGCACGGCTTGTCGGCTTGTTGGCCTCAGCTCGAATGCGAGCTGGTGCATCAGTACAAGCCACATCTAATTCAAAAAGGCACAGACAGGCAAAGTCGTCTACATCAAAGTGTAGAATCTATTCTTTCACATTCAAGAACCATCTCTTTGACCTCAGAATGGAACAGGGAAGAGGATGGCTTCTGGCATCGTCTCGGGCCATGTCGAGCCTGGACGCCTCGCGATCAAAAACAAGGTCACTAAAATGGATTTTAATGAGGACAAGGTTGAGAAACTCCAGCATGGGATATGCACCACTGCCTGAACTCGCGCGCTGTTTGGCTTGCCAAAGGAGTGTCGCTGGCAGTCGAGGACACAAAGGTTGAGACCTCTGTTGCGCATGATGGCTACGCCACAAGAGAACGTCAATAGTGTATTTGAACTGTGACTTGACCTCTAGGGTCAAACAAATCCATCAATGCCGTGAAAAGCCAGCAGTAATGCAAAGGTAAGAATGAAGCAAAAATTCAAGTCACCATGCCCTGACTGGAGCAAGGTCACCACGCACATCCAACTGTAGTTGACAGGAGCCCTATGATTTTAGAGCTCGGCGCAGTGGATCTGCCAGGCATGGTCTTGTACACATATAACATGCTACAACCTGGATTCTGTCCGTGTGCGCTCGGCGTCCGACAGTATTCTGGTACAAGCCCTACAATGAATACACTCAACAAATAGCCGCTACCAACCCAGGGTGGGACAGCCATTTCCATGTGTTCAAGTTATGCAGCAACCAACAGGTGAGGCTGTGTGAGATGACCCGTCAAACCCTTTGTGGAGAGCGGCAAGGACACCAACAGAGCCGCTCTGTTATGAGGGCGAGTCTGTTGCACCCGTGTCTTTCCTGCCCTGCCCTCCCTTTCCCCTTCGGAGAGGAGCTCACAACAAGGTAGGCGCGACTGACCACAAACCATGCTTCGTCGTGTATTCAACACACCATTGACACATCAGCAAAGTTCTGCTCACGGACATCTTTGCTGAGCTTTCATAAGGACGTTGATGATTCTGACTTGTTCGTTGGGAAAGCTTGTCCTGTCATGCATCTGCCTTCATGCTAATGGTTCTAGGGAATCTAGCGTCCTCATGAAAAGCTGCACTGCAACATCAATGACCACCAAGAGGTTTTCTTCCTCCGTCTCTGCCATGTCTCACAATGTTCGGAATGCGCCGGGTCCCAGGCGGAGAGCATACGCCGATCTAACAGCCGTTGCAGTGGCAGCCGGCTGGCTGAAGTTGGTGAAGCACCTGAAAACACAAGCATGAGACGTTCTAAGCTTACAATTGCTACCTGTATACAAATTCCGCCATGCCCACTTGACTGCTCTAAACTGTCTGATTGACGGTCTGTGTGGTTCCCGTACAGCCTCGGGGCACCGAGATGATGGATGGATTTGTGGCATAACTCGTCATCGCGTTTGCGACAGGCGATAAAGCCTTGAAAACTTTGGACGCTTCTCCAGATGGCGAGCAAAAAGGTTGGTTGGCAATACGTAGCAGTTAGCATTCCGGTCGGCTTGTCTGTGGCGGACTGTCCGATTGTACGCCCTAATGCCACACAACACACACAGCTGCTCCCCCATGGACACCTACAATTGGCAACCTGTTTTACCCAGCCGCTACTCCTGAGCCAGATGCGAATGAGACAGCTGCGTCTTCTGAAGAACTTATTGTTTGGACTTGTCCGGACAGGTCAAAGCTCAGCCATGCAAAAATGCAGTGTCAAGCATTAAGCAATGCAGCACGGAGGCATCTTTAACCCATGTGCTTGACATGTAGAGTTAAGACATTGCTCGAGCGCAACCGCCCTGCATGCTGCTGGTTGGCAGAGACGCGGAGTCAGTCTACTCCACTGTGTGGCGGAGTCTTGAGCTCCATTCAGGAGCATGCCTTCTACGATGTGTGTGTAGACACCCAAACTTGCGTTATACTCCTCCCTCATTCAAACAACATTATGAAATTCTAGGCTGCCCCATGCCTAGCTCTACGTGCATCCGACTGTCAATTACGGATGCTTCGTGGACCCCTTCAGGGTTCCAATTGCGAGTGTTGCAGCAGCTGGACCATAGAGTCCAGCTAAGAGAGCTGCACCCGAGTGTGGGTGTCATCAAGGCAAACCAAAAACCACGCTGGATATGATGTCATGAATCTGTAACCTTCATTACACGTCCACGCTCAAGCCGCCTCATTGCTTTCAACAAACGTGTGGACGAAAGCATCCGCGCCCAGAGCAAAGGTCTTTGTGGGCTGCAGGCTATCCACAACAAGAGCGAATTCAAAACTCGTCCTCAACTCCAACTCAAAGCCTCTTTGCACCAAACCAGAATGATCCCTCTGTGCGAAGAAACCATCATTCGAGGCATTAAAACAACCAGCATTTGCATATGTCTGCTTTCATCTTCTTACGTGGTTCTATGAGGTCAGGTGCGCTCCTTCACAGAATCACCAGCACATCGCCGGCAGAGTGAGCTCGTGCACTTTTTGAAAAAGTATGGCTAATTCTGTGCTTTGATAGCTGGATCTCCTGGAGGTGACCTTTCACCTTTGCCAGCAGACCTGATTCTCCACACAGCTGAAAATGCGAAACTCTGGTCAAATGCCTCAGAGTTGCAAAGCCACCGCATGCTCAGTACCATCAAGGTACAGCACTGAACTCGCGGCCTCACGTATGCACTTGCTGCACAGCATGAGAGATGCTTCTACATCTGTCTCCAATCGGTCACCAACAGGCAAGACAGCTTTCGACCAAGATGCATGACCGTGACCTGAAGAGCACGCCACGCGCTTGTGCCTGCAGCAAGCATGCAGCTGGCAATGGCCACGCAAAAGCTGGCAACAACAATTCGGGGTCAGGTGCATGTCGCTGAAATGCTTATTTAGTTCCCTGCATCGCTCTGCAGGCATACGCCAAGACTCCAATTTTCTGAAAAAGCTGAACTGCTTATTACTATGGCAACCACCGATGTGGGATGAGTGCTTTGACTGCAGAATGAGCGCTCCAGAATGCGTAAAAAGCACGCACGCTGTTGGGAGACTTGCGTCCACCGCAGCTCTCTGGCAACACGTGCAGGTCCGAGCCGTCGGGTGGGCCGAGAAGTCGTGCCAGCCAACAGCTATCACAACATCCTCAAACAGAACGGCAACCGGTTCTGATGCGCAACAGGTAGCTGGATTCACTCTGAGGCTCAAGCAGCAACCAAAGCCGGCAAGGCTACCAACAGCGCAGCACGGGCGCTGCCCGCCTTTGTATAGGCCAGGTGACTCAGAGACACTGCAAGAAGCGTGGAACCTCCTCAGATCTCCTCAGGTTTGCTCTTTCACAATGCAACTCGCGCAGATTAGGCCCAGTGCTCTGTCAATGAAGAGCGGGGCGCAGGCCTGACAGCACAACAAAGCAGCGTGAAAACATGATGAATTTGAATCCCATGGGGAGAAATGCCAGATGTTGTTTTGATGTAGCTCTTAGCAGCCAACTGTACCAACCGCCGCACCCAGCGCAGGCGCGAGGCACAGTACAGTTGTCAGCCAATTCCTGGAAGAAGATCTGCTCAATTCTCATACTGCAGAAGTTGATTCAAGAGTTGTTCAGCTGAAGGCAAACGCGCCAGTGGTACGTAACTCTGGCATTGCCAATCAAGCCTGCCCAGTCATGCCGCAAGGTAGATTTGTAGCGTGACGAGGGTTCAGCAATCATGATCTAACTAACAACGCTGCGCATCATCCAAACCCCTTGAAACCTTAAGAGCAGCAGTTCAGCACACTGCACTGAACATGCCAAGAGCGAGTGCGAAATCGGATCCATCAGCTTGCAGCCATGCCACGGGAAAAGATTGCAGTAAACGGCGCCATGAATAGAATCTGTGCCTGGCCGAGAGCAACATGTTCCTTGAGAATATGGGGGCTTCAAGCTCGATGGCATGCCACGCAGCACCACAAGAAATTTCAGAAACTTCCCAACTTCACGGCCATTTGTCACATTGACCCCTAGGATCTCAGCACAGCTTGAGGCCTTGATGCCAAACATGTAGCCCACAACCTGGATCAGCTTTAGCATCACGTGACCCACGTGTCTCACTTTGTATCACAGCTGGGCCTTGCTGCAGCCGAGCCACCAGCCGCCATTCCACAAGTGGCGGGAAAGCAAAGATCAAGACCCCGAGCAAGTACAGCCTGTACCCAGTTCTCAAAGGCCGCAACTTCAGAGACCCCAGGAGGACACCTGTCTTGAGAAACTTGTTCTTTCAGGGCGCACCCGGCTGCGACGGACATCTGCAAGCGCTCTTCAAGGCGAAGCTGCGCCATTGACAGAGACACCACGACCTTGGGCTGCGCAAAGCTTTCTTTCAAAGGCGTCTGATTTTCAGACTGTTGGGTTCCATGAGAGTCTGAGTTGTTCCTGCCGGGGCTTGGGCGGACAAGGCTGCACCAGCAAAGTTCACTGCGGCAATGCTGTCATTGCCCCAACCTTGGCACAGCTGGTTTGAATGACAAATACGAACAGGTATCAAGAAGGCTTCCCGAAACCTATTGGCCATGCAGGTAAGTAGTGCGACATTAAGACTTTCACCATGGCCCCGTTGGCTATATACAGCGCAGGTCTAGAATCTAAAACGTAGGATTCAGAAGTCTCACAAGCAAATCCACCAACCCCAAACCGGGCAGCCGAGCAGTGACACACATTTGAAGTGCTATCGGGCAGAACTTTTGAATCAGGAAAGAAAAAGAGTGCCGGCCTCCCCTCCTGAGAGCAACAACTCGAACAATGCAAAATGAACAAATACGCCAGAAGTAAATCAAAGGAACCACCACTGCTCTTGCAATGCCCTGAATTTCAAACAAACCCATAGCAAACCAAGAGGACGGTCTGCTGTCCCTGAACTGAAGATGTGGGTTGGACCAAACGCCCATGAGCAGTGACTGCTAGAGGGCAGAGCGGACGCGGACACAGACCAGCACAAGATATGAGCTCCGGTCCACACTCGACAAACCTTCACACCGCTACAGAAAGTGGTCTCCGAAGACCGAGGCCAACACCAAACTGCTGCACGGCAATTGGCTGAAACCTGTCAGCCAACAAAGGGCAGCTTTGGGACTGCACATCCTCAAAAGGACTTCATGACCGTCGACCGATATCCACAGCGTCAGGCGCTTTTGATTGCTCGACGCTAGAGGCTCCACAAAATTTGAGGGCTGTCAGCAGCGACATAGAACAAGCATTTCAAAGATGCACTTTTAAATGGTCTTGCATTACCTGCTGAGGAGGGCACGCTGCGATAACGGCGGCATTCATGCTGACCTGCACGTGCGCTCTTGAATATGCGAATCCAGTCGTCTTGGTTGCAAACCTCAAGTAGCCCGGCAATGATGCAAAAAGTGACGAGGACTTTCCTCCATGATCAAAATCTGCAGAAGAACAAGTCAACATGAGTGTGGTCAACTTCTGTCCTGGCAAACCTCTTGAAATTCAGTCCATCTCCGCCAAAGGAGTCCTGAGTCGACAACGGAATACTTCACCTGGCCCTTTCTCGTGTCCAAGCCCAATGTTTGGTGCAAAGCAGGCATTATATTTCCAGTAAGGCTGAAAGTCGAATTAGGCAGTGTGGTCCCGATTGCGTCTGTCAATACGTGGTAATTACAGCAAGGACCCTCCTGAACAAGACAAGCCACGTAACAAGCATCGCACAGCGCCATTGCGCAACCTCGGCAGCAACCCCACTTGCTCCTTTCTCGCCGGCTACTACTCCCCGACGAGGCAGGCAAGACTTGACCATGCTGTAGGAACACTTGAATGTGTTCCAAATTTGAACGCTTGGGGAGCGACTCCTCTCTCGATCTTCCAGAGTCTTCTGGCATCTGTCACACCTTAAAGCGAGACTGATGTCAGAACTATGGCAACGATGCAATATGGAACTGCAAACGATAGGCACGCCCCGGGGGCCAAGCTGATTGAACGAGCGCGTCGAGCGTACAACTGGTTCTGGCATCAAAGCACATGGGGCTGCAACACTCTGCAAGCATGCGGTATTCCTTCATGAGCTCTTGCTCCTCACATGCCGTGCACCTTGATTTTGTTGCTTCTTCTTTGGCGGCTGCATCCAGGCATGCAACGCCTCTGCTCAGCAATAATGCTTGAAACAAGAACCTGTGCCTGGAGTTTACTTCACAAAACGTGCTTCAGCCATGCCGTGGATCGATGGGTGTGAGGGGTTCAAGGCTTGTGTTTCTCATGGAGTGCCTACGGTCTCGGTGTTCTGGCTTTCAAACTTTGAGGAATTAAAGGTTTGGTGTCGGGTGTTTAGGGAGAGTAGGGTTTAGGGTTCAAGCTTCAAGGTTTAGTGGATTTGGGGTTTAGAATTCAATTTAAGGCTCAGAGTTAAGCAACTTAGGAATTAGGGCTCTGCAGCTTCAGAGGTCTAGGGTTCAGAGAATTAGGCTGTTCACGCTTTATGGAGGTCAGGGATGGATTCAAGTCTAGGGAATTTAGGGTTTAGGGTTCAGAGCTGAAAAAATCCAGGGTCGAGTTGAGAGTTTAGGGCCCAATTAAACGTTCTGAGTTTAGGAAGTTCGGGAGTTTCCAGTGTAGGGCTCAGAGTTTCAGCAGTTAAGGGGTTAAGGCCGCGGACTATACGGAGCTTATGGTTTAGGGCTCTAAGCTCATAGGGACTTATTGTTTTTTTACAACCCTGTCGACTCTTTTCGTGTCTAGCTTATAGCTCGGGGGTCAGTATTGCCCTGTCAGCCGTCTACTCCCCTGGCCCTTCAGTACACCTTTGCTGTGGCACCGGCACCCTCCTCAAACTGTTGCATGTTGTCCCTACACTCACAATCTTCCTCGACCTCAACTGCATCCAAGCCAACCTCAACCTCATAGGACTTTAGGATTAGGGTTTAGGTTGTAAGGTCCGCTTTAAGACTCGACGCTCAAAGAATTCAGAATTTGGGTTATACGGTTTGTGAAGTTTTGATTGTGCGCTCCTTTAAACAACGGTGCTGGTTTGTGAGGATTAGCGCTTAGGGTTCCGTGTAGGGTTCAGAATTTCAGGGGTTTAGGAATTAGGGTTTGGAGTTCAGGGAGTTTTTTTTTGCAGCTCCTTTTTCCAACACGATAACGTCCTGGAAAGCAATCAATTTGCAGGAGCAAAGTTGCACGATGCAAGCACATCACGAGGTATTCCTTGCATAGCGGCACAGCGGTATACGGCTGCGACCACACAATCAAAGAACAGGCTAAAGGCTCCGGAAAACGGCACGCTACCCCACTCACTGGCCAGTGCCGGACAAGCGGTCACCCTCCAAGGGAACACTAACTCCAGCTAGTGCAAAGGCTCCTCACCAACGGTTCCGCCACTAGCTTCCCCTCCGATTGGACGTTCACCATGCGAACCAGGCCATAGAGCATGCGCAGGAATCAGAGCAGGCAACGCACCCTCACCCTCGCTAGCATCGCCACCATGTTGAGGTAGAAGGCCACCACTGGTCATCTCCGCAGACTCCTCATTGACGTCCATCACACCCTCATGGCCCTGCCCCTGCAGGAGCACCGTAGTAGGCATGCCCGGGTTACAGGCATGTTGCTCAGGCAACGAGGCGAGGTTCAGCGTGTCCGGGTGGCCTTTTGGAACAGGGCGCATGTTATCTGACACGACGTTGGCCGCAGTGTTGCCCCCCTCCAGACCACTTGCACTTTGATGAAGATCACCAGGACATTCTGTAGCATCCACGTGTTCCCCCGGGACGGCAACAGCGAGGGAGGTATCCGCAGGGTCCACCACGTCCGTAGTCCCCAGAGGACTACCAGCCAGAAGCGCAGGCAGCATCATCCAGCTGTGTGTCCAAAGGGCCGCGCGATGCTGCCAGTTCAGGTTCACGGTCACCCTCCAACAACCCTAGGTGCTGCTTCCGCCTCTCTTTGAAGAGCAGGAGGATGTCTTCCCCAAAGCGGTCCACAATGAATTCTTCAGTGATCGACTCGTCCAAGTAGAGGGTGAAATAGGCTTGAGAAAGAGCAACCGGACAGCCCTGGATGGTGAAGGGAGTGGTAAGGTCAACCGGGGCAAGCTCCTGCGAGGACAAGAGGATGGCCTCATCAAACTCCACCGATCCCACGTCCGCTTCCTCCGCGTCATCGCTCCCTTCATTTTCACCTTCCGCAGCACCAGCCTGATGCTCCAACCTGAAGGGAGCGGTTCCACTGAGTCTCCTTTTGTTGCTTTCCACCTGGAAGACTGACGTGGTAACCTCCAGCTGCGCATATGGTTCAACCAGAACGTCATGGCTGCCTCTCAACTTCTGAAATTCATTCTCCGCCCATTCCCTGTCTTCCATTGAAGCCACCAACAAGCAGTCTGACGACGACGAAGAGGAGGTGGCAGCTCCTGCGGCCCCTGCAAGGTCAATCGACGAGGCTCCAAAGGTTGCAAGGAGAGCTTCGAGGGTCCTGAACCTGGAGTCTCTCGCGCCCGTGAAAGCGTGCCTGCATGTCCATCTGCCCTGAGTGACCGTGTAGAGAAGCACCTTGGCCCTGCCTGACGCTTTGTCCCCCGAGTTTTTGAGGGCCTTCTGCAACGCCACCAACATCCTCCCAAGTCTCTCATCAGCCAGAGAAACTTGTTCGGGCTTCATGACCATCTGCATGAGTGCGGATCCATCACCTTCCTCACGCTCCTCCACCTCCACTTCCTCAGAGGAGCCCGAGCTGCGAAGAAGTCGCATCCAATCTCCGGGGGTGTGCTCCTCAGGCTCCGGCAGTCCAGCACCCTGACCCTCCAGACTAGCAAGGTCCCCTTCACTTGCAACATGAGGATGCTCCACTGCTTCCTCCTCCGCATCCTCGTGTTCTCCATCTGTGCCAGCAGGAGGCGCAGGCAGACTCGCATCAGGACTCAATCCACGGCTAGGGTCAGCTCCCCCTGGCAAACTGCTCACATCAGGAGCAGGAGCGTCCTCTTCATCCAGAACCACCGTCACGTACTCGCCTGAGGAGACTGCTGCATCTTCCGGGCTGTAGCGCTCACCATGGCCCTCTCCCTCTAGACCCTCCCCTTCTTCCTCAGGGACCAGATCCAATGGTCTTGGCGAGGGGCACGAGGAAGGCCTCGGAGTGCTGGATCGCGCTGTCGCCACAGAGGCACCCCTACCTCTTCCCCGGACATTAAACAGGCCTACCTCATGCGGCACCGCACCCGAAAGCTGAAGAAGCGCCATGGTGTCAGGGGATTGGCCCTTAGAGATCTCCTTGCCAACTTCTGCAAGAAATATAGCGGCGAAGCGGAAAAAGGAGAGCGTGAACTCGAACCTCTGAGCCAGCGTCATGTCCCCCATATTGACCCTGATTGCTTCCCTTACCTCGTCACTGATAGTGAGAAGGTCAGTTGTTGGAGGCGGCGGTTCCAACGGGTGGGCGAACCCTAGAATCATGCGCCAGCGGTTCAGGGAGTTTCGAGTCTAGGGTTTAGGGTCAAAATCTTAGGAGTTTACGGGTTTAGGACTCAGTTTAGGGTTCCCACTTCAGGGCTTGAGGTTCAGAGCTTAGGGAATTAAGGGTTCAGAATTTACGGAACTTAGGGTTTAGCGTTGAAGGTCCAGTAAAAGCCAGGTTTGCGAACCAGGTTAGTGTTCAAAGTATAAGGGTTTAAAAGCCAAAAATGCAGGAGATGAGGGTTTGGGGTTCAGGGTCCAGTTTACTCAGGTTTGATGAGTCTAGGATGTAGGGTTCAGAGTGAAGTTTATGGTTCAGAGCTTAAGGAGTTTTAGAATTTAGTGTTCTGAGTGATGGGAGAATAGGATTTAGAGTTTTGGGCTATGGGTTCAATTTCAGGTTCAGACTTTAGGGAGGTTAGGGTTTCGAGGCTTACAGTTCAGAGTGTAGGGAATTTAGGGTTTAGGGTTTAGAGTTGTTATAGGTGATTGCAGGTGTGGATACCAGGTCTTGGGTTTGGGCTGAGTTTTCCGCTTTCATCTTCGGAGTTCTGCAGTTTGAGTTTATGGAAGTTAGGGCTAAGGGGTCAGTTCAGGGTTCCGATTTTAGGGGGTCATTGGTAAAAGCTCCAATTTTTGAAAAACAAGGATTCAGAGTTCAAGATGTTTTGTTTTCTTGCTTTTGCAGCCCCTCTTTTCAACCTCCAGTGTACGGTTAGATGTTCAAGAGTTCTTAGGGTTCAGCGGGCTCGGTACAAGGTCTACGTAGAGTTTAAGGAATTTGCGAATCAGTGTCCAGAGCTTTGGGAGTTTGGATTTGCGTGAGCTTTCAGAGTTCAAGGATTTCGGGGTTTAGGGTTCTGAGCAAAGGGATGTCAGGGTTGGGAATTTTCGGAATTTGGGGTTTAGGGCTTAAGGTCAAACTTAAGGCTCAAAGTTAGGAAATCTAGAATTAAAGCTTAAGGAATTTAGGGCTTGGGATTCTGGTTCAGAGTTCCGGGAGCTTTGGGTTCAGAGTGAGGTTAGGGTAGTTAGGGTTTAGGGTTCAGGATCCAATTCAAGGTTGGGAGTCTAGGCAGTGTTTTTTACAGTTCAGAATGTCGAGAGTTTAGGGTTTAGCATTTCGGGCTTTAAGGTCATTCTGTTTAGGGTGTAGGGTCCAAAGTTATGAGGTGAATTTGATTCGAAGGATTAAAGGCCTGCGTTCAGGTTGTAGACTCAAGGCTTCAGGGTTTAAGGTGCCTTCAGTGTGGGTTTTTAGTCATGATGGATCATGAGGGTTTAGGGTTTCGGGGCATGAGGGCCTTAAGGTTCAGATGTACGTTAAAGGGTTTACTGTTCACGGGTTCAGAGTCTGGGGTCAAGAGGGGTGGGGTTTTGAGCATTGGGTTTAGGCCGTCGGCATCTGTGGCGCATAGTCTCTTATGCCATCAGGAAATACGGAGCAGAGTTTCGTGGTTCCGGTTCATGGTTACCATCTCTAACACCGAACTTCACAACGTCAACCCACAGACCTGGTTCAGTTTTGGGCACTCGAGCCGTTCTACTACAGCGCAAGATGTCAGAAGCCCAACCATTTTTGAGGCAAAGGCAACCGCGGAAAGGATACAGCTGCTGGCCGCCTCACATGGAAGTTGCCCCAAGAAGCTTGATAAATCAACACTCGCTGATGGGTGGTTTCTGAATTACCGCTCAGCAACGCTCACTGAACCCAAAGGGATTCCGAGATCCCAGCGAATAGAGACGCGGCAGTGAAGCCATTCATCCACCTCCCAGGCTCCGAAACTCATGCGATATATTAGCAATCTGCCCTAGAACAGCAAGCAAAGAAAAAAAAAGTCTTGTAGGCTGACAAACCATTACTCATTACTGGATGAGCCAGCCTGAAGAAGCTGGCAGCCTGTGCAAAAGCCTGAGCACTTCAGAGTGACCTGGAACATTTGTGTGGGCAATAAGCTGGGGAACACTGAGGCAGCAGCAGCTGAGAAGAAAGGCCCAACAAAGCCGCCTTGCTGATTTTCTTGTGGCTTGAGGTGCTTGAATTTGAGGCATATTCACCCTCCTGGCCTACCAGCCCTGCTGAAGATGCAAGCTGCCCAGCGCGGCTCAGCTCCTCTCTGCAGGATAGGGTGTGCTTTGCAGAGTGGCTTGAACACAAGGTTTCAGCCCTCCTCCGGAGCCACAGCCTTCGCAAAGTATGCAGCTCGGACGCCGCGGATGGCAGGAGGCGCATTGATGATAGCCTAAAGGCTCGATGGACAAGTTCTCCCCATCCGAGCTCTCAATCACAGCCCGGCACAGCCCTTCATATGCCAACATGTGCCGAGAATCCCAAGCTGCTGCGAACCCAAAGGCGTTCGGCCCTGAGGCGAACAGGAGCGCTGCTGCACCCGCAGCCAGCGAAATCCCTACCTCAGAGTGCAGGCCCCGTCTTAGATGAATGCCAATCGCAACCTCCAGCAAGGCCACGTACACCTCCCGCTCGCCGCGCAGATCAGCCCACAGACCCAGCCCCAGTGGGGCCAGCATGGACAAGGCACTGCCTTCAACGGAACACACACTGCACACACCTCAGCGCCGTGAGGACGCTCACAATATTCGCCCATCCTGTGATCAGAACCGCCGCAAAGCAGGTGGCGGCATCGGGTGGGTAGCGAGCCGCGCCTCAAATGCTTTCACAGGCAGTGCTGCAGCTTGAACTGCACGACGCTCAAGGCAAGCAGCGGATCTGCAAGAAAAGAGACGGGCGCAGCATCTCCTGGTGCCAAGCATGCCAGCTTCGGGACCGGAAAATGTAAGCCGATCAATGCAAAGCGAACTGCTGCATTTCCAGATCCAGTCCGGTGCCATGTAGAAAACCGTCTGCGCTGCTATCGTAGCACGCACACCGCGACTGAGTCCAGGAGCTGATGCCTGCTTGCAGCAACGCTTACATAAGCGGCCTGGCTTGGTTGCTGCCAGATAATGGTGTGGCTTCATACGATTCGAAGCCTCAGCTGAGGAGTTGAACCATCTACTGTACCGGGCATCTGGCAGGAAATGCAGGAATTCCTGGAGCAGTGCCACTTTGCCTGCGCCTCTTCTTTGCGCTTGAGGTCATAGCATGCGTCACACAGACCAGTGCCCCAACGCAGGTGACCTGCAGCAGACCGAGCAACAACTCAAAGGATTCAAGCTCTCATAGAAATCCTTCCAACTGGTGGTAGCTACTGAGCAGCTGCTGCCACAACACATGGCACAACACCCAAAAGGCTGAAGCCTATGTCCATTCGCTGCTTGCAATCTCCGCATTGCTTCTGGCAGGAGTCGAAGCAAACATCGCAAAGCCTGCCGGGCTAGTAAACGCAGCCAAGCACAGGTTCTGCCTCAAGGACACGTCTTCCTGCTTTTTCGCAGCATATGACATCAGCACCATGGTGCCACTGTCTGTGTCATTTTTCACGCTGTGCACTTGGGCTTGTGGGCGGGGGCAAAACCATAAGCTGGAAAAGGCTGGAGATCTCTGAGCCAGGGACTGCAAACAAAGGAATACGGAGCTTCATGCGAACTTTAGCGAGTCGGGCCGTCACGAGATAACGTTCCAACATGTTTCTCGAATGCGCATCTGGATGGCTGTGAAGTTTTGCTAGGCCTTGGGGCTGGCTCGTGGCTAGCTGTTAAGCTGTGGAATTTGCGAAGCATGTGAAGCATGAAAACCGAGCATGACCTGCCTTGTACCCCAATGCAGTTCCCCAAGCTCTAGGCGTCTGCGGCATATTCGGCATTCCTAGCAGACCCGTGAAAGTAAAAGCTTCATGCCACCTTGGACTCTTAGTCAAGATCTACCCCAAGCAAGGTCCTTCTCGCAGCGAGAATAGCATGCTTCACACAGGCCACTGCCCCAGTGCTGCTGTCCGAAAGAGACGCGTGCCTCTTTACCTCAGATGTCCATCTCAGTTCCTCTCCCTCTGCGCCAGAAGAGGAGCATCTGAATTAGGAAATTGATTTTGCTGTGCAATCAAGTGGCACATCTTGCAAACTTTCTCACTGCCGTCATAACATCTGTCGCAGAGACCTATCCGGACAGTTTCGAGCTACTCTTGAATCAGCGTGGAACCGTTAATCTCAAGAACACCCGCTGCCTGTCCCCCAGTGCTCAGCAGAATCCGGGATGGTTTGCTTGCCTGGTTGGCACTCACTTGACGAACATGACCGAGTTAACAAACTGAAACTCCAAGTTCATGTTCCATTCTTCTGCAAACCAGCGGCAAACTTTGCAAAACGTTTGCTTGGCCAGCTTGCAGCTTTGGCAAAGGCCGGTGTTGTTATGAATGTCTTCCAGCAACAAGCTCTCGTTGCAGAACTTGCCTGAGGACAGCCACGGCCTTTTGAATGCATTCCGAAGCCCTGCTACGTCATCAACGAATCTGAGCAGCACTTGCCGATCCCTTGCTGCACTATGCATGAGACCATGCAGAAAGCCTTGACTTAATGCAGCAAAGACTCACTTCTTGGCACTCATGTTCCAGCAATCATTGCCTCAGACTTCTCGCTCAGGTCCCTGAAGCATCTAGGAAAGGAGAATGAAAGAAAATCCATGTCCGAGCTACACATTTCTGTCCGCCAGCGCAAAGATCCGATCGGAATTCGCTCATGACACACCCTGGCAGCTTGCAGCTCGAGGCTTTTCTGACTTCTTGTGTCAAGCTAGCAACTTCAGTCTGGAAATGGCAGCTCAAGAATCTCTCTGGCAGGCTTTGCATGGGCACGAGGATGATGACTTTAGTTTTCCTGAAGGAAAAATTCGTTCACGGAGCCCCAGATCATATCCAAAGCCGCAGAGATGAGACCCGTTATTGAACACACGAATTGTCAGCATCAGATTCAGAGAGTCTCTTGCCTGCATTGCTTCTGGCAACCGTCATAACCTCATGACGGCCAGGAGTTTGTTTCAATCGTCTGCATTTGGGGGAAATCTGAGGCTGAGGGCAGCTGTCACACATCCCAGTCGACCAGCGCCGAGCACCCTCACCCAGAGCCTGTGGAAGCATACAGTGAACAAGGCCCTGCTACCCAAATCCAGGCGGTCCGTTTGGCCTGCACAACTCTTCAAATTCTCCGAGCCTGTTGGCAAATGGTGCAGCTCGCCTTGGCCGAATGGTCGTAGCCTTGGTGGAGCTCCAGCTTGCGTATTTGACGTGTGACTGTTACGCAATTCTTCTTGCAGCCATGCCTACACATGTAACGAGCAAGAGTTCATGAATTGAATCATCAACAACTTGGACCTCTCATAGAATCGGCTGGCTCAACGGTTCAACTCGTTTGCTGGGCACCAGACAGATGTCGCACAGGCCAGTCCTCCATCGTTGCTGCTGGTGTGTCAGGCCTTCCTGGCATTCCACAAAGATGATATGTGAGAATGCTCACCTTGCCATGCCACAAATGCAGACAAGCATCGTGGCAGATCTTGCCTGAGTTTCGACTTTGCTGTGAACTCCAGATTGATGGACTGAAAATGAAAATGCTGTAGCATGCAAAACCTTGACTTTGCCATGCCGCACTTCTTGGCCACCCGGTTGTAGCAGGCATTGCAAAGGCCTGCACTTGTTTTTGACTTCATCCCTACCTGTTGCAGTGTGGACTCCACCTGCACGCCAGTGGTTCTGTCCCTCGGCGGCCAGGCTGGCATGGCAAACCTGGCAAGATCCAGAACTTGCCTGATGAGCTGAACATCCCTTGCTCTGCTTTAAAGGATATCCTTGTACCTTGCGGCGTGAAACTAGATTCGGAGCCTTGCAGCGCTTCTCGCAGGCCTCGTAGCAAGCCTCCAACAGCTACCGTTGTCCTCAACCGAAAGACGCACATGCTTTTAGGGAGGCCCTGCCTTGCAGAGGCCAGATCCCCACTGCACAACCTGCAGGAAATTCATCGTGACAAAATGCACAACATGCATCCTGGAAACGGCGCCTTGACGGAAAGTGTTCGACGGCACCTGGTGGCAGACGTTGTCATCGGACAGAGGCCGTGGGAAGTGGCAGGACTTAGGGCACTGGCCGGAGGCAACGCTTCTGAGCGGCGCCAAGGCATCGGGCACAAAGCCCAGGGCCAAAGCGGGCCTTGCTGCAACTACACGTCTCACGCAAAACCGCGAAAAGTGTTCAAGCCTCTTCCACGGAGATGGTGCAGCCACAATGGTGGCATTCGGAACCTTAATCTTAGCGCTCTCCCACGCATGCAACTGAAACGCAAGTGTTCTGCAGTTTGCAACCCATTTTATAGTGCTCAATTCTCTCCGCGTACATCACAGCCCAGGCTCCGGACTGTGAGGAAAAGACAAAGCCTCAAAGTTGCAAGCACCTGGCACTTGATCTGGTTAAATGAAAATT